ACAAACTTACATAAATTCACATACAGAAGTTCACACATGCAAACACATACAAGTGACCATAAGATGGCCCGAACATTTGTAGATGATAAATGCCAGAGAAGAGTAGAAATCTAAAATTCGATACATTTCCAATGTGTAACAACGACTCATCTACAGCAAACTAGGAGTGGAACACTTCCAACCAGACGATCAGAGCTCATTTTCACCGCCAAGATGGGCCGGATAATTGCTAGTTGGGCATGTTCACATGTCTCGGATGCCCGATGCAGGCTTTCCCGGTCGGGGCTAAGGGAGCTAATCTCTGGGGTCATTCAAAGTTGGAGCATTTGGAAAATATTGTGCCTTATTAAAAATTGCATTAATCTCGCTCAGATGGCAATAAATAAAGGAATAAGTATTTACAAAGGATAAACAAACAACATTAAATCAACAGAAGAAGGAACTGACCTGTGCTATCTTCACCTGGAGCCACCGGGTGTAAGTTTGAATGAGTAGCAATATTTTTACACACAAGACTGTCTATGAAATGGTAAGCCAGACTTCCTCCTGCAAGAGAGACTGGCTGCTATGTGCAGGAGAAAAGAGACCAGATTTTGTTGGTAGATTTAGGTACAAACCGCCTCGACGTTAGATGGACAAAATGAGGCATGCATATGTGCTTGTATGTATGGGGAGAATTGTTGAGAATTGAAAGGGTGAGGGGTGGAGGCTAGTGAGTTTACGAGGAAGACGGATAGATCGGAATAAGACGAGAGAGTGATGCAGGAGAGCAGGAAGAAACAAGGGGAGAGAGGGAGGTGAAAAATTTTGTTCTAATACAGGTAAAGGAAGAATGCTTAAAGCTTGGGTAGATAGAATGTGAAGGAGAGAGAGATACACAAGTGGAGGGTGGGAGGGGCCAGATAGAAGAAGAGAGGAAAGGCGAGATGGCATGTGGACATATCGGCAATAGTGTGCGAGAGAGAGAGGCCTACACTAAGAAATGAAGGAAAATATGTATTCCATCGAATGAGGGATTCACCACAGAAAAGCAGTCCCGGCGTCGTTAGCCAATAAATATGGAGCCTGGACACTTTCATACTAGTATGTATCTGGTCCTACCCAGGCAGACACATGCGTGCATTCACGTCTGTCCACACGGACCAGCCTACTGCTTGTATACGGTCATCTCCCACCATCATAGCCGAGTCAGGCTGTGTGCACTTTCAGCTGCAAGATCAATTCACATTGGCAGCCGGAATGATAATTGGGCATGGGGATGTCCGGGCTAGATCCAGTGAAAAACGAGCTCGCGGAGACTGGCCGAGAGCGACTGAGCGAAAGAACAAGAAAGCCTGTGGGAGAGAGAGCTCGTCAGAATGGACTTATGCGCGAAGCGGCTAGGAGTGTAGAGAGAGTGAGAGAGAGAGAGAGAGAGAGAGAGAGAAAGAAAGAGATAGGGAAGCGAGGATAGGATGCTTATCCATCCGGCATATAGACTCAGTCTCTTCGCGTTCTATCGTTTGTATGCCTCTTCGGCCCTGCAGAAACAATTGTGAACATCCTCGATACATGTTGGTATACTTTCGATTGGGGCGTCGGCAATGCTTTTGCATTAATAGGGTCCGTTTCTAGATAGGCCCCGGAGTGTGTGTGTGCAATGGTGTGAGGAGGGAGTGTCTACCGATATGTATGTTGTTCTGTATCAAGGCCGGTATGTACATTCGTGTGTACGAGGGAATGAAATGCAAGCGACAGACGACCTGATTGAACCCACACCAATAAAGAATTACTTTTTTCCAGACTACATGCTTGTTTCTCTCTCTCGCACTGTCTGGAGGCGGGAGAGGAACTGGAGTGTGCTTTCGTGCGTATGGTCGAGAGGGCGAGAGCGTGAAATATTCAGCATTTGGTTCAGTGCTGAGGCAGGGAGCAGATGAGACCGAGGAGAGGAGTTGTGCCGAAAAGCTCTCTTCATTATTCTCCTCTGTCGTAGAAGAAGACACTGAATCGTCCTGTTCAACCGATGGATTGATGGCTCCCGTACAAGCCCATCGTCAACCCTCACAACTCCCGTTCTCTGTTGCCTCGAACCCGGCCGCGACATCGACTTCCCGTGCATCTGAGCGAACCTGATATACCAATTCGAGGGAGCCTCATATTAAGGCTGTTCTCTGCCTCGGGGTATACATGTTTTCAGAAGGGATTTCAGCCCAGGACAAAGAAAATGAGCCAGAATCAAAGGAATCCGCTGGACCTTTATTAATAGACGGCTGGAACGCGACAACAATTTCAACATGGCGGCTACTAATACCGATCCGACTTGCACAAGCAATTCTAACTTCGGCATACAGCAACAGAGCTCTCAGAAGAGAGGGTACGAGACGAAACGGATGTCGATAGAGGGTCAGAGTACGAAGGATGGTGGAATGCCTTTCAGGCCCATTGGTTTCTGCACACCGGATCTTCTGGGCAAACCAAAATTTAACCAATCAGCGGAGTGTGGAAGGGAAATACACGCGACTTGCGCATACATATATGTATGCCCTTCGTGTTGATTGGCCAATCGAGCCTAAATGGAATTCGGCCTAGCAATACCGTCGTCGGGGTTGTGTACATAGCCACTTGCCTGTGTTAAAACTTTGCGCGCCGCTCCGACTGTGGCCTGAGCCCTCTTGGTTCTGCTTTGACTCGCCTCAGGCCGGGCAGAGAAGCTGGTGATACAAATGCGTGTACATGTTTTTTTATTAAATGGCATAAACATGCTGGTAAATTGCATGGCCTATTATTTGGTGGAGAGAGAGAGAGATAGAAAGAGAGAGAAAGAGGAGGTTTTAGTTATGTCTTCCTAGAAAATTGTCTGAGCTACGTAGATAGCTCAGTATATTTTCCGCTTCGGGATAGATATCTTGATAGTAGATATGATTATGAACACATACATGAGTGTGTTCGTGTGTGTATGTGCCTATTAGATGTTGTCCACTGTCTGTGTATCCTCCCCGTGGATCATTTTTCTGATGATACTGGCATGGGCTTAGGTTCTTGTTGAGTCTTACCTGGAGTGAGAAACCGAGCCCGGTATTAGAAGAGGGGGAAACAGGAGGGTGAGCCACGGGAAGAGATTCATGTGCATGTAGATGTCCGCAGATTTTTATAATCGAGCCTTCCTTTGCGAATAGGTCGTTTATCGGCACATCTTTCTGGCTTGCATACAGATTCTACTACTGGACAATTTCTGGCTGATCGAAAGAGGCAGTCGATTGTAGCCCATGTTTCAGCTTTGTCCGAAAAATCTGCATAAAATCCTGACTAAATCGAGTGGATAGGAATATTGTTTACCCCGATATAGCAGTGGAAAGTACTTTTGGCGCTAATAATTGTTTAGTTTAACAAATATCCAAAGTCCTGTTAACAAGGTGAACCAGTTTAGGTTATCTTTTTTAGTGGATGGCAGCTATTCTGCCCAGGACAATTTGAAGGGAAAGCTTGAGTATTATAACGCATCCAAAAATGCCAATGTCAGCATAGTTGAAGTTAAGTCGAATCAGCCTAACTATAATCGCTTGGGCTTTGAATAAATGTGCAACTAAACAGTTACTAACACACAAATCAGTAGTATGCAGAGTTTAGCGGCAAAAAACAGTAAGAAATTCCATTTAAAATGTCTTGAATTGAGATTACGATCGTCATGCTTGAGTGATGTGACTTATGGCTGGTTCGAATCACGCCAGGTATGCTGAAGAGATGAAAAAGTGATCGTTGAACGGTCGTCCAGGCTAGAGGGACACTTGGCTCATAGATCTTGGATTGAAACATTCTCTTTATTGCATTCTAGACAGAATGACTATTATAGCATTACAGGAACCAGTAGCAACCAACACGCTTTTACATACTACAAGTGAGGACCTGCAATCTGTCACTTGTGTAGCCTAAAATGAGAGTCAGCTAAATAATACAGAGATATAGCGAATAAGCATGTATTAATTGCTTATTGTTAGATTTTTCAATTCGTATGATGCTATTTGTAGTTTGGTGTTGTCAAAACACGTGGAAAATTGATGTGAAGTTAGGACACATTATTTGAGTGAATGGGCTCTCTAAACATCGTCCTGCGGCCCAATATAATTCATGCTGCGATGTCCTCCGTCTTGTCGTAGGAGGCAATAAAAGAATAAAATTTCATCTTAAACCTAGGTCTAAAAGTTATTGCCAGTTATAGTCTTGCCTACATTTTATAAACTATTTCACACATTCTAATGGAGCATCCCATTTTGATAGATTCGTGCTTGCTAGTGAGGAAAGTGAATGCGGTTGTGGTAGAACTTCGGATGATAAAACCCTACATCATCTGTATTCTGATCCTGCATTGAATTTAGCAGCCTCTGATGAAACTATGCAGATGGTAAGTACCTCTTCTGAATGCCTTAAATTATGGAATATGGACTAAGCTGAGTGGTCATTTGCCCAGGAAGCAAGTATGCGGGTTTCACGCTCGACTGCATTCTCAAATGCTTCCTTTTCAAAGTCTTCACAATAGGTTAATAATTATGTTAGAGTGTAGTAAGCAAAAATTAGTCTGCGTCCCGAGATGAAAATCTTCGTGACCAAGAATTAGGACTATCAGGAAAATTTTGCTCAACAACCTACTATTTACTTGGTTCCTGAGGCTGTAAGGCTGCTGGCCTTCAAAAAAGATGTGTCAACTTACGAGGAAATAAAGAATTTTAAAAGTGTGCAAAGAAAGAACACAACTTTTATTATTGCGTCAGCTTTTCAACAGTATTCGGGCTCTCTTGTAGTCTGTTAGGGTTCTTGTGGGGGATTCCGGTAGACGAAAAATAAAGGTTATATGAAAATTATGTGTATAGATTACAGAAATAGCTCAAGATAGATCAAGTTCCACATATCTTACAGTTGTATGGGTTAGG